CGTTTCCAATAATACTAAATGATACCTTACTGCAAAGTTCAATGAGTGAATACCACGCAACATACATTGTAGTATAGAATGGGCCTTGGTGTGCTTGGCTTGACCCGAAGGGATGTTGGGTGTTGGAGATTCTAGATTACCGCGCTCATCTAGGCATATTGAAGTAAAAGGAAGAATGACAAACAGCTCACCTAGCATATTCAAGTAAAAGGGAGAATGACAATTAGAGGGATACAATAATCTTCTCATATAGTACTTCGTATACTTCTCGGGGTCTATAGTGCCACCATCGGTGACCGACATGCATACCTATATCGGTGTGCAATCCTCGATGTACGTACGCAGGGAAACATGACGATGCTGAGCTCTGTGACCCTATCGGGCACGTGTCTTGACATTCGCCATTTCTATTGACCTCCACGTGCAAGTATCGGCTACAATATATAACCAGCAACGGCGAGACGGCGTCGTCTTCTGTATACTTGGTGGGTTTTCTTTGCTGGTTTGGCTTTGTCCACGTCGCTACGATCCGGAATTTTGGCAAATGGATCGACTAGTGATGCTTGAACTATGCGAGTCAAGCCTCTAACTTTGGAATTGTTTCTGGGTAGCCTTGTTTTCTATATCTGTAAGTGTTTTGTTCATTGATCCAAGTAATACAGTGGCAGACTTTATGGTCTACTGTATGCTTTTTATAAATTCTTGTGACTGTAGGTGGATATATATCGTGACGTCCAGGTCATCCGCATCCAAGACCGACACTATATAGTAGATCATTGAAACCACATCGGTGATGACACAGAAGAATGGCAGGAAAACATATATGGATCTAACAGAATGCCGATTCGAGACACATATTCGAGCAAGTGGTATATGGGCAGGGTGCTGCCAGCCAACCTACAATATATATCTACATCTACAATCGAAAAGGTCGAATGAACATTATATGATCAAATCATCCGAACATTGTGACACATGGCGCCTGCATATTATTGATGATACAACTAGTGAGGGACACCAAGCTTTTGTCATTCATACCCACTTTCCCGAGAGACTCAAGCATTTACCGGTAGAAGTCAGGACTGCAAGAAACCAATTAGTGATATAGAAAAACCCAAAAAGGAAATAAGAAACGTACCGGTCATCATCCTGTCCAGTCTTGACCTGGACGGCATAAGCATCTTCAAGGTCGGATTGGATAATATTGTAACGGTTCTTGCGGACGGCCCGCAGACCAGCCTCTTGCATGATAGCAGCAATGACAGCACCAGACAATGGATCGTTGCGCACGATCAGGGCGTCGAGGTCGACCTCGGGGGACAGTGACATGCGTGCTGCAATGGTTGTGAAGATCAATCGGCGCTCACGTCGATCACGCAGGTTCGGGAACTCGATCTTTCGGTCCAGACGACCAGGACGCAGCAAAGCCGGGTCCAGGGTGTCGGCTCGGTTGGTGGCCATGATGACCTTGACGTTGCTGGTTTGTTCGAAACCGTCCATCTGGTTCAGCAACTCCAGCAGGATACGCTGAACCTCACGATCGGCACCAGTCTGGGCATCGAAACGCTTCGTGGCAATGGCATCGATTTCGTCAATGAAGATAATGGCTGGGGAGTTCTCACGAGCCATGCGGAAAACGTCACGGACCATACGAGGTCCCTCTCCTAGATACTTCTGTACAAACTCTGATCCGTTGACACGAATGAAGCTGGCGGTTGTGCTATTGGCCACGGCTTTCACCAACATGGTCTTTCCGGTTCCGGGGGGGCCATAGAGCAAGACACCACGGGGAGGGTCAATACCTGCAAATTGTTAGCAGTGCAATCAGCCGCAATGGAACTCCACCACTACCCACCGATTTGCTTGTAGAGTTCAAAATGTGTCAAAGGGAGTTCGACGGCCTCCCGAATCTCCTGTTTCTGCATATCCAAACCACCGACATCTGCGTACGTCACATCGGGCTTCTCGTTCTCACCCAGCATCGCAATAGAGGAGTCAGCCTCGGGAGGAAGAATATCGACAAGGGCATTGGAGTGACGGTGAAGGGCGACCGAGGATGAGGGCTTCAGCTTCTCGCGGTCGAGAGTGGAGAGGATACGGACGACGTAATTAGAACCGGTCGAGCTTTGCACAATGCCGGTGCTAGAGATATATGAGTTAGCAAAATGACATCTCACTTAGGGGTTCAGACACGGAAATGCATACTTTTGATCGATTGCCTCCATAAACTGTCCGATGACCAATGGCACACTCTGTATGCGCTTGATCTCTTCTTGTGCCCGAACTAGCTCTCGCTTCAAGCTCCTGTATTGAACGATGGTAGTTAGGCACTGATGTAAATCTTCAATGACAGAATCTAAGGTGCATACCTCTGCTCATCCTTGATGTATTCCTCCTGCAGTTGGATATACCTGTGTTCGACATCAGTACAGATTACTTCATCCAACAAACATGGTCAGACATACTCGAGATGTCTTTGTAGCCTCTTGAGGGTAGCATATTCATCGTTTCCATCCGCCCCTGTGCCATCGAGGGAATCCAAGTTGGCGAGGGCGTCAAGCGCACCTGGCTTGGTAAGAGGCGTGACGTTGTTCGCCGGGTTCTCCACGGCAACGTCTCCCATGGTGGATACTTTAGACAGCGAGCAAGATGAGAAAGGATGGAATATCTATCCGCTGGAAATGGAAAGAGATGTGATGTGCTTTGAAGATGGTTGGTGAATGACGCGCTGTGTGAAGGGCTCGGAGTTGAGCCATCTGGAGCTTTCGATGCTATGGGCCCGGGAAGCTTATCCATCACGTGATGTCAACCACTTCAACAGTTAAGTTCATTGGAAGTGAATCTGTTTAGGGCCACGAAAGATATATTATTATAAATTCTACTGCTGATTATTTTCTACATTACGTTGTGCATTCTGTTGACTTCCTTATTCTAAGGTTACTAGTAGAAGATTGTGGCAATAGCCGATACGGTAACACTATCAAATTAAGCGCCCGTCAACTTGCAATGCAATAATCTCCAGAACAATGAGACAACTTGCACAGAACATCGGGAAAGTCTGGATAGTTCTGATCATCATTTCCCCCTGTATCTTTCCTCGATTAAATATACACCAATCATGCTCAGGTGAGTGTATCAATCCAAATATATCTTGTATGTTGTATGGTCAGACGCTAGCGGCTGCTACGGAATATGGAACCCAGGAGCCAATGACGAGTATCTCAGACTCATTTGCCTGGGGTATTCGTTTCGTATAGTGATATATGTAAGATGATGCACGAAGAATGTTGCCTAGACACCTGATCAGGTTCAAGGAGAATATCATATTGGACCTGCGCAAAGGGTTCTGAGACAGTTACGAGTATCCCACTGGTGTTAGCCGTGACCTCTAGCCCTCAAAAGTCCTACAGAAGGGAAATGAAGAAAAGCTGATCCAATCATCTCTAGCGGTGGAGTAGGCCGGGACGACGGTAGGTGGGACAGGCACCAAAGCCGTCATGATTTCCCATGCGGATCGAGTCGGATCCTTGCACGGGGCTCACTAGGAAACCCAGATCAATCCACTGTTGACCTCGAATTTTTGGTGACTTCGGAGGATTGGGCGCGCATCGATGTGATTATCAGACGCTAGCCCGAGCTTTATATAAGGAGAACCGCCCACTGGTCACCGTCACGGCTCTAGATCTTTTTTTTTTCTTTCCATATTATTTCTTTTCCCCTTCCCCCAAGATTTCAGTCTGTAAAGACTCCATTTTCCATGGCAATTTTCCCCTTTGAAATTTATCATTTGGTGGCTGCTAACCTCAACTAAATCGGGTTGGAGTATATGATCTAACCTGACTCGGCCACCTGAGCAGACGGTTGGAATGGATCATCGTTTAGATGGTTTACAAAATCCGAGGGGAAGATGGGGGTTTTATGGGAATTTTCTCTCAGAAAGAGATTTCCTTCATATTTCCTCTGTTCCCTAACATTATCCATTATTTTCCTCCGTGTGTGGTCAGTCTCTTCCATATGTAGGTTGAGGCTGGCAACACCTCGGAACGGGATAACGAAAACTAATGGGAAATCCAAACTAACAGAAGGGGAAAAAAAGAGAGAAACTCCCAGAAAGAGAGAAAAAGAATCAAAAGACCCTGAAAACCAAACAAGCAGAGACTCTCTAAAAGAGAGAGAAACAACCTAGTAACACAAGTGGGAGGTTTACACTGTGCAAAAAAAGCTCTGACCTCAATTTTCCCTTCTCTTCTCTCCACTTCCCCTTTCATCCCTAACTGACCGGATCTTGTGAACTGATAGGTACGCCATCTCTATATGATTGCTTTGCTTTTTTTTTAGGGGTGCTCATTATTATTTACCTGTGATATTATTTGGTTGTGGCCACGCACCCTCTTCCTTTTTTTTTATCTGCCTGGTTCTGTAACCCATTTGTCCCTGGTTGCTGGAGGAGCCTCTATTATTATTATCTTGGCTCTTTGGAGATCAAGAGTGACACCTTCCTTGTTCATGATTTGCTAACTCTCTAGCTCTACCCCAGCCTCCTACCTTTCCCCCTTCCCCCCATTCTCTTTAACGTCCTTTGCCTCCGTGGGTTTGTTGCCTTAGGCTATCACACCACGTGACCTCACCTGGCCAACCTCTGTCCCCCTTCATATCCCCCCATCTGCCAATTCCGGGACCCGGCTTCAATCATCCGTTTAAAAAAAGCGGAATTTAAGTCACTTCAGCCTTATCGGTATGTACCTCATTCCCTCCCCTCATTACCCCCCAAATTATCTCCAATATTTCCTATGCCATCCCTCCCCACCTTCTCTTTGAAGTGTCGCGACCGGGTCTGCGCGCGACTCCAAACATCTCACCCCCGACGCGTCCACACCTTCTATCATTGGACTAAACCCTATACTTGCTTGCCTATATGACATCTTTACAAATTTTAGCGATGCAGCCAAGGTTCACATGCTGACTCGTCATAGGTAGATGGGTTGGCAAAACCGCTCGACATGAATGCCTGGCTTGCCGACGCCTCGAATATTCCTGGCCAGGATAATGGCGCCTTTCATCCATCTACTATAGATCCCTCTACTGCTTTCCTTCATGGCTCCCCGACCCCCCAGGATCCATCTCAATTCCAGCGCATGTTCAATAATGGCGTGCCGCGGAACGCTTCCCCAGGCTTCCACAATCCAAACCAAGTGATTCCGTCCAAGCGAGCGCGACCAGAAGATGGCATGCCCATGTCACCAAGGCCAGCACCGGGCGGCGTGACGGGGTCGCGATCCCAGACCCCTCACCAACCATTTCCAGGTTATCAAGGATCGGCCAATGGCAATCCGCAATTTCCCCAACACCCAACGCCGTATCAGCATCTTCAGCAAGGAGCCTCTCCGAATGTAACGCAGTCGCCTATTATGCAGGATTTTGATCAACAAAGCGCTCGTATGGGAACGGCTTCTCCGAGCCCCTTCTCGCCCGCTGGTCCGCACCCTGGAACCCAAATGTCTCCGTCGCAGTCAGATCACGGCAGTCGCGTGAATACGCCCCAGAATGCCAACTTTATGCAGGCACAGCAGTTTGGTGGAATGACATCGGGAGCACCCCAACCCTCGATGCAGGCCCCGCAGTTCAATGGCATGCAACAAGTACCCCAGGGCTACCATCAAGCTTTAGCGAATCAACAACAGCGGCTGCATGCTATGCAACAACAGACACGGATGAATTCCAATCCTGCAATGGCTGGACGGCAGGCTCAAGGGGGCATGAACCCGATGGCCAATCCTCAGCAGCCTATGGGAGGAATGAGACAAATGCCACCGAACATGCAGTCGAACATGCCGAAACCCAGTAATCCGGAAGGATTCTTGCGCTCATTGCAGAAATTCATGATGAGCCAGAATCTTCCCATGGACCCAAATCCCATTGTCAGTGGTCGTCCGATCAACCTCGTTCAGCTTTACGCCACCGTGATGAAGATGGGAGGATCAAAAAAGGTCACAGCAACAAATATGTGGCCAGCAGTTGCACATCAGCTGCAATTCCCCCAGATGCAATACCCTATGGCCGCCCAGGAGATTCAAGCTCACCACTCAAGGAACTTGGGTCCTTACGAACAAGCTTTCATTAGCTCTCAACAAAAACAAATGGCGGACCAGATGCAGCAGCAGCAGCAACAACAACATCAAACCCAGCAGCAGCAAGGCGGGATACCGCGTCAGCCTAGTCAATTTAACTCTCCTTCGGTGAAACCTAATCCAGGCTTTGAGCAAGCTCAAGCAATGGCACAGTCCCCCCAGAATAACACACCACTTCATAATAATGCCCCAGGGAATCCAGTGAATGGATTTGCTACGCCGACACACGCGCGAAGCCAAAGCAGACCAGCTCAGGCCGGACATCGGCCAAGCATCTCGAGGGTATCGCAACCACCGGTCCCGCCCACTGACGCCGCTGCCGCACAATTCGCAGCTCCTTCCCCGCAATCTGCAAAGGGTGCTACGCCTATTCCGGGACAACAGCAGCCAGGACAACCAGAACAAAAGCCAGAGCAGCTAGTAAAACGACCTATTGAAGAAACCTTCAAACCGATGGTTCTGACAGGAAGTCGTTTCCACGGGCCCATTATTGTTGATGAGATGTACCAGATTGGCGAGGATATCTCAAGGCTCAAGCCAGACGTTCCAGGCTTTGCAGAACTAGGAGTTGTTGATATCCACGCGCTAACAATGGCGCTCAAGTCCGGGATCTATGCCGAGATCCGGGTTGCCTTGGATACCCTCACCACACTCTCTGGTGAACCATCTGTTCAGATATCATTGGAGAATTGCGATGACTTGGTAGAGAGCCTGGTCGACTGTGCTGAAGACCAGGTCGACCTTCTAGCACAGCACACCTTGGAAGAGTCAGATACTATGCTTCTCCGTTCTTATGATGAAGTCACACGAGACTGCCAGACTGAAAACACATCGCTTGCAGAGGTTTCCGAATTTGGAAGTATTGAGTACGAACTAGACCGGGCCGTCGATCGACTCATCTGTATCACCACTATCCTGCGCAATTTCTCGTTCAGCGAGACGAACTTCTTACCTCTTGGTGTTCCTCCTGTCGCTCAGCTGTTTTCCGCCGTCTTCCGTTACATGGGAACTCGCAAGATGTTCCTGCGGACAAGCCACAACACGTTAGACTTTATGAAGGATGCAGTGATCTTGCTGAGTAACTTGGCGCATGTTGTTCAAATTCCCGGCAAGGATGAGGCACTAAATCTGTTGATTTTCCTGTTGGCGTTCTCGCCCGAACCCGAACCCACATCACCCTCCGGAAAAGTGATGTTCACTACATTCAACTCTTCGGTTGATCGATACACCCCAGCTGCTGTTGACGGGCTTGCCAAAATGTTGGCTAGAGATGACCCGAACCGAACTTACTTCAAAGCCATCTTCTCTGGCGATGGGTCTACACTTCCCCAGCCGGAGTTGTTAACTCGCGCGTTTGGGCTTGCCATCTCCTGTGTCCCCGATAAAAAGCCCATGGCTGTCGTGGATGCACGGAAAGTGTTCTTGATGCAAGGTCTTTTGTCGGCCGATGTCCTCACTACATTCGCCGATGGCTCTCTTGCCAAAGCATGGCTTGAGTCAGCCGACGGATTCGCTGTCCATCTCCTGCGACTTTCTTGCGCACTGTGTACAGAACGTATCCCACAAATCAACATGCGGCAAAGAAGTCAGGCCGAAGCCGATGCGTATGCCTTCAGCTCGATTGTCAACAGAGGACTGGGTATTCTACGCCGACTCGCCGAAAAGTCAAAGCAAGTCGACAACACACCTCTTAACATCCCATCCGGAATCCTTCCTAGAAAAGAAAGCCTGCTAGGTGCACTGCTCCTACCCAACATTGACGGTGGTGTTGTTCGCCAGCTCCTCACATATGCTCGGTTGGCGGAGTAAATGATATCTGCATGAACCTCCAATGCGCTGGTGACAGGTTGGCTTTCGTACCAGTCCCGCCTGGGAGGAATCGGATCCTCTCCCACTTAGCATATACGACAATCTTGATTTTCTCTCATGTCATTAGTACTCATGTCGACTGTCAGTCTTTCTATTCTTAACTTTTGGGCGCTGGTGGGTGATGGGGCTTTTATTTTTGTTCTCGTGAGATAGCGTTCTGTTCTGCTTCGGTGTACAATGCTCAAAATACCCTCGACGTAAATCGAGAGATACTTGCATCATGACCAATTGATCATTGCTTCTGTCTAATTTCGTAAATATTAAACTACCGGCTTACCACATACTTGTAGTTGAACCCAGCCACGTTGAAGTATCTGGCAGTAATAGGGCACGCAAGTCCTCAATTCCGTCCACTCGCCAAAGTAATTTGGAAATTAAAAGCTTTAAACAGGTCTGCCTGTGGCCTACACTGGCATACTTTCCAATTGTAGATATAAGCATACATACTGCGTACTGTTACAAGTTTCCTATATGGAAATGCATGTGGTCATTCAATGTAAAAGCCCTAGCACCCATCGAGTCATCCAAAATGTACATATTGAAAGTGTTACAGGTAGAGAGAAAGGCAAGAGAACAAAAACGAAACAAAAGCAGGTGCACGCCAGAAGACACGACCGGATAGATAAGACACGAACACCAAAGGAAAAGAAAAGAAAAAAAGGGGGAAGAAAAACAACCCGCAACGAGATTAAGGTATGCACCGAGGGAAGAGGAGAGAGAGATCAAGGAAATAGATATTACCCATCCACATCAGGGACCACCGTGAGCGTTCGTTTCTTTCTTTCTCCTCCCTTGTTTTCGACGTGATTTGATTCTTGATCTCTCCGATAGGTATGATCTAGCATACCCCTCGCAGTAGGGGGGTATGAATAATGCTTTTTGAGGGTGAATCTTGGGCCAATTGAAAGATTCCGATTAGCTCTTCAACCGCAGGTTTGTGAGATAAGATTGAGGTATTAGAGAAGAAAGCATTTAGAATTTCCGCTCCTGGAGGAAGTTCACAATCTCGGGTTTGCGCCAGCCCTGTATTAAGATATCAGTTTCTATTGCGTGATAATCAATTGCACCGTAGAAGCGAACATACCTTGACAATGATGTGGCCAGTGAGTCGGTTGAGAGCAACATCCGGGTTAGGCTTGTTTCCGTCAACAACACCCAGAGCAGCAGCTAGGTCGTTGCGGAGCGCCTCCAGATCGCCTTCGGTCTTCTGGAGCTTGGTGAGTTGCTTGGTGCCGCCGGCCTTTGTGACGACGTAGACAGGCAGCTGATTGGAAGCAGTGCGACGGACGAAATAGGGGAGGTTGGTGAGCTGCAGGGGTGGACTGGGGTTCTTGTCTGATTTGGCTGGGGTGGGGATCGCGGATGAGGCGGTAGATTGTTGTTTCAGGGCTTGCGCTTGACGGCCGAGATGAGCGAGGAAGGTACGGCTTTGGCGGGTAGGGAGAGTAGGGGGAGTGAATTGAGGACGATCTGAGGTAAAGGGTTAGCCATGCGCTCTTTTCTCCATCGACGCGAAACCAACACGGTTAGATGCGTGTTTTTTTCTTTCTTTCTCTCTTCTTTCTTGTCTGTTGGTTACAAGATATGCAAGACCCGAGGGTTCGGCCTTGCTCTTGTAGGCCCTAGGAGATCGAAAAATCAAGATGAAAGTGAACAATAAGTAACTTACGTGAAGCTTTCAACCTCGCCTGAGGACATAATGTGGAAAATGAACTACATGTCTGAACGGAAGCCACGGACTGTGCAGAATTGACGCGAAGAGTGGTCGTGGCCTGCTTTCGCATAGCCGAGGATGGGCCCGAGTGTAGAAGAGACGCCATTTCTCGGGTTCTAAAGGACCGAAAAAATAGACCTGGTTGGAGAAGATGCGGATATCAAGGTAGAGGGCTGGGGAGATCGGAGAGCGACATCTGATGCTCCTCTGCTCAGATTTTCTGCCACCGCTTCTCAACACCCACTTCCAAAAAGGGTTTAGGGCCACCGACGCCCGCACAATCTGCAAATTCTCCATTGATCGCGGTTGGCCTTTGTTATCCCCCTCTAGACCTTTAACCCCCTTCTGCCATCTTTTGAGATTAAATATGGCAGACAACGCCCCCCTACCGCTGAGAATTTGCTCAGCGGCGCTGCTGCTCACGCCGAGGAGATCGCCTCCCAGCATGATTTGCTCCCCCGACTCATCCCGTACCTCGACCGTCACCTGGTCTTCCCCCTGCTCGAATTCAGCGCTACCGGCGATGAGGAGGACAAGGAAATCACCCGGGCGAAGTACGAGCTCCTCAAGCACACCAACATGACCGACTACGTCGCCAACTTGTGGCAGGAGATCAACGACTCCGACACCATTCCCGAAGAGTTTGTGAAGAAGCGCGAGGAGGTTCTGGCCAAGCTACAGCACTACCAGGATCAGAGCGAGAAGATTTCCGAATTGCTGCAGGATGAGGAGGTCGTCGGTAACCTGCGAAGCGATAAGGCCGCCAACTTGCGGTTCCTCGAGGAGCAGCACGGTGTCACCAACGAGATGGTCAACTCTCTCCACGACTACGGACGGTTCCAGTACAGCTGCGGCAGCTATGGAAATGCCGCTGAGCTGCTTTACCAGTTCCGTGTTCTGTCTACCGACAACGACAAGGTTGCCGCCGCCACATGGGGTAAGCTCGCATCAGAGATCCTGACCACCAACTGGGAGGGTGCTATGGAGGAGGTTCAGAAGGTCAAGGACTCAATTGAGACTCGCCTGTTCAACAACCCCCTGGCTCAGCTCACCAACCGCTCGTGGCTCATCCACTGGTCGCTGTTCCCCTTCTTCAACCACGACCCCGCCCGCGACGTCCTCACCGACCTCTTCTTCTCACCCGCCTACATCAACACCATCCAGACCAGCTGCCCTTGGGTTTTGCGGTACCTTGCCGCCGCTGTTATCACCAACCGCAGCCGTCCCCACAAGCACTCCGGTGTCTACCAGAAGCAATTGAAGGATCTGATCCGTGTTGTTCGCCAGGAGGACTACGAGTACACCGACCCCGTCACCGATTTCGTCAAGGCCCTTTACGTCGATTTCGATTTCGAGGAAGCACAGAAGAAGCTCGGCGAGGCAGAGGATGTGCTCCGCAGCGATTTCTTCCTTGTCTCGGCCGCCGATGCTTTCGTCGACGCTGCTCGTCACCTCATCTCCGAGAGCTACTGCAAGATTCACCAGCGTATTGACATCAAGTAAGTTTTTATATTGGAAAATTGATACGAAAACTAGACTAACGGTGTTTTTTTTCTTTCCAGCGACCTTTCCGCTCGCCTCGGTCTGAACCAGGACGAGGGTGAGAAGTGGATTGTCAACCTTATTCGCGATACCCGGGTTGACGCCAAGATCGATTACAAGGAGGGCACTGTCATCATGAACCACCCCCCTCAGTCGGTCTACCAGCAAGTCATCGAGAAGACCAAGGGTGCCTTCTTCCGCACACAAGTCTTGAGCTCTGCTGTTGCAAAATAAAAACACCATGACCTTGATGTTGAAAACTGAACTTTTCTCTGTTATGTGATTTCCAACTTGTTTCTGCCTGCCCCCTTTTTTAGTGATCTCCCCGTGTAGGTCACAACACGGTTGTTTGGGGACTCCATGCAGAGTGGCATCCGGCTGGCGTTTTTTCGGGGGTCCACACTTATTTCTTTACCTCTTTAGTCTTGCAGTTCTTATGCACACACTCTCTCCCCATATTTTCACTTCCGTCGGATATTTTGCTGGACCTCTTTATGTATTGGCCATTTCTGACCCTGGAGGTTTGGAGGGAGGGGTCCCAAAAAGCAGCCATGGCGCCCCCCCCGTCTAATCTTTGGAGGGGAAAAAAGATGAGAGATGGAGATATGATGTAGTAGACTCTTTGATCTTAGGGTCTGATTTATCTATGCTGTTACGAATGGTCTATAGAGATGAGTGAAAGATGATGTCTTTTTGACAATAACCCTTGTTCCAACCTATCCTTAAGTTAGGACTTTGTAACCCTTCAAGTGCTGCTGGACATTATGTCTCGGTTTGTTATTGATTCGTAAGTATCATAATCAGCGCTGAACTAATTGATTCCATTCGGGTGTTAGCATAAGACCCGTTGATGTCCATTTCTGCCTCTTCTAGCCCTAGTACATATAACCTCTCCATAGTTGATAGAATCATTCCGCTTGTCTTCTTTCCCGAGCCCCAAAAAAATAAAGATCAGTCCAGCTTATGATTTGAGGATAGCAGCTCTAAATCCAAGATTCTAATACAAAATCAGCTTTGGCGTTATAACCCTAAGAGATATTCAAGGCCAGAAATAAAAGAGAAGGGTATATCAGAACGAGACAAAAGGCATATGTTCCTATCAGCTCAAAACAGGGCTACGCTATTGCCCAAAGAGCTACTTCCATCCCGGGATTGGGATTCCTTTCCTCCCACTGGTCCGTCCGAGGGCTTTTGTAATCCAAGGATTCCATCCGGGCAACATAATCTGGGTTTGAATGTCCATGTGGATAATGTCTCTGCAATCCAGGGGCACGAAGAACGATTTAAAAAAGACCAAACGGAGCAGTATCAGACGATCAAACAGCAAAGGCCTTTCTCATAATGTCGCTGGTCGATGAAGTCCGAACGGAGCCAAGGGCTGGAGAAGAAACACCGAATCCAATGGATGGAATCAAGAAACAAAATTGGCCTCAACGACCGCCTCGTGGGTCTGGTTGCCTGCGTGTTCCGGGTTGACTGATAGGGATGATTTCATTGATATATGGCTCAGGCTGAGTTGCTGAGTTCTCGCTGCTAGAGCTGGAAGTTGAGCCACCGGTGGTGTTGTGGGCCATTCGAGTAGCTTCTTGCCTCTCGTACTCTCGGGACATTACCGCGAGATCATCAATTTGTTCCTGTTCGGAGGAGTTAGTACTGTGTAGCGTTCGATTCTCTTTCTCTTTCTCCGATTTCAATATTGTAATAAAAATGGGGGAAACAAACCCGCGTGAGTGGCACGCCATTGATGAGGTAACCTTCACGTCCCTGTAATGATATCAGTTTAGAATGAGTTGTATAGAGGGTGTAGTGGACACAATGGCAACATACCTGGTAGCTGTAGGGTCTAGCTGTTGCACTTGGTCCAAGGAAGTACTGGATATGACCTAGGACAATATGACGGGACAGCCCGTACCCCGGAAGCCAGTATTGCTGGACAGGAGACATTGTCAGGGCTAAGAGGTGAGGCGTCGAGACGAGGCGAAAGAAGAGCTAGGGTCTGATGTCAGTCGACACCGACACAAACGGTCCGTGCCTGTAAGCTCTTTGTGGGACTTTTGGCACTCCAAAGGACGAGATATCGAGAGTATAAATAAGTTGGTTGATACCCTAGTTCATCGAATAACAATCCCACCAGAGACGGAGACGAATAAGACATATCTCTATCGGGAATGCACTAATTGCCAGCCCCCCGATCCTTCGGAAGATATGGTCTCACAACAGGTCAATGGCAGCGGGGACCGCCCCTTCGTCGAACAGCATCCACAAGGTCGCTGCACATTAGACAAATGAAACCAACCGGTTACCCACGCATCCGATAACTCTCGAACAAGTTCTCCACAGAAGGCGGGAAGAAGAAGAAAGGGAAACCAGTGGGAAAATCACTAGAAACGGTCCAGATCCTCCGTCGAGAAGAGGGTTCATGTCGGAACGTTCGGGGGCTTGAGGAGGAGAGAATCACCCGCCTCACTTTATCAGCCAACGTGGCCCAACCCTTTTTTTTTTCTTTGATGTATGTCAATTTGGAGCTTCTGACCGTTAAAATGAAACGGGATCCTAGTCTGCCCACCTTTTTCACCTCCTACCGAGGATTCGGTCTGACAAAAGTGAGGCTTGCGTGGAGGAGCATCGGTCTCGAATCAATCCCAGGGCGCTTGGAATTGGAGTATCTGGAAGCGAAAGCTAATGGCTTCTGACACTCCTTTTTCCTCACCGCAGATTCTCAAACCTATGCAGAGCCAAATTGGCTCTTCCGGCGGTGGTGTCGTGGCACCACGGATTGTGGCCTTGGTTGGCGGGGAGCCACTGAGCTGCAGATGTCCTCACTGCAGCTCTCGCTTTTAGGGTATGGACTTGCTTCTAGGGCATAAATTATGTCCTCTTGGAGTTGCCAAGATCATATTGTATATGGAGTTTTTGGTCATTGAAACACATGGCAGATGGAGATGTATGTAGGTGTGGATCGATTGGAGTTCCTCTTCTCGAGGATATAGATTAATCGAGTTCAATATGATTTGGCCAAGGATTGTGTGCGTTGTATCTCCGACCGAGAGGTGATCAAGAGGTTCGTTACAGAGGTTAGTCAGGATGTGATAGATTATGCATGGACTCATGTCCGTAAGCCTAGATGTTCTACATGGGGGTTCGAGCCAATACTCCACAAGGCCAACGCTTCATGTAATATTCTCTAGTCTTTTCATAATTCGTCCGACATGAGGGAAAACAAAATATCTCGCATCGACATCGCCTTTACTGAGGAGGCACATATGGGGTCACCAACATCTCACTGAACTTCTCCAACTTCTCCTTCCCGCGCACTTCCTCAACAAGCATTGGCATGCGGACCACATTGAAATCCTCATAGAGCTCCTCAATCTGATCGAGGTACTTCTTCTGCATCTTTCTCCGGGCAGTGCACTGCTCGCAACCACTTCCTTCCTTGGGGAACAACAGCTGGTTGACAACGATTGCATGGGTATCGATGTTGTAGCTGGTCAATTCCTGGATCATACGTTCGGTCTCGTAGAGCGACAAGAACTCTGCAATGCATACACACACAAAGGTGGTCATGTCTGGGTTCTTGAATTGCGTGTTGACCTCGCTGATAGTCTCCCGCAACGACTCCATCTTCTGCAACAACTCATCCATATTCTGACCTCCGGGTAGACCGCCACGAGCGCCCAAAATCGAGTTGAGCATCGGACCGAACTGGGTGGAGAGCTGGGAGAGCTTGGCGAGCGCCTTCTCGAGGACGGTAGGGAATTGGAGGAATCGAAGGGTGTGGCCGGTGGGTGCGGTATCGAACACGATGACTTCGTAGGAGAGCGACTTGACCTGCTTCAAGACTTCGGCGAAGGACATAGCTTCGTCAACACCGGGAATCTGTCACCAACGTTAGATTTGACACGTAGAGTATATGGACGGCGGTATAAGCACTTACGCTGAATGCGAGATCCTGCATCATGTTTCCCATGCCCAATCCTGCCATGGGGTCTTCCTGACCATCTCCGGTGGCGAGTAGATCCTGGATGCTCCCATTGGGGTCGATTTCCATCGCGCTCAGGTTTGAGTAGCCATCGATCAGACGAGCCTCCTTTCCGAACTTCTGACCGAAAGCGTCGCTCAGGTTGTGTGCGGGATCGGTGGAAATGAGGAGGACGGATTTGCGGACTTTGGCCAACTGGATGGCCAGCGAGCACGAGGTGGTAGTCTTACCCACACCTCCTTTTCCTCCGACGAAGATCCAACGAAGAGTGTTTTGGTTAAGAACTGACTGGAGCGTAGGCTCCATGTCGAGGTCATCGCCATGTACTACGGCGGAAGACATTGTGTGATTTGTTGAAGTTCTGAGGTTGCGACTTTGCGAAGTTGGAAGTTCAAGTCCCAGATTGCCCCGCAAAATCGAACTTTCCGGAAGACAAGACTTTCACATTCACTTTACTTTCCCTTTTTGGTGTTCTTATAATTATATGCCAATGCCTTGGATGCTATGTAGGGTGCTAATTACCTCTTAACCCCCCCCCCCCCCCCTTTTTCTACTAATCGGACGGCTTTCTAGGGCACTTGGAGCTCTTTGTCCTCGAACAGAACAATGTCACTTAAAGTTATCACAAGACAATTCGAGATAATTCTATTTACTATGGATATATGGATAGTCACAAAAAGAAGAAGCTATACAAATATGCGCGTGGATCCTAACTGATATCTGCATGGCACTCTCCGCAGCCATCGGTATCCTCCGACGAACCTTTGATAGCAACGTAGAGCTCCCCCTTCCAGCAAATTCTCATTTTTTTCCCTTTTCTCTTCTCTTCCTATATTCCATCTTCCCATTGAATGAATGGACTCTCCTCAAAATAACCAACAACTTGGTCGCACCACCAACCGCCTCGCACTTTATCAGCAACAAATCTCCCCCGCCCCGCACACCAAAGACTCAGAAATCAAGAAACCAGCCATGGCAGCACGCGACCCCATCACCTGCCATTGTCTCAACACTCTTTCGGGAACACCCGCAGCCAACCTACCAGTTACGCTGACCCTCCTCTCCACCCCGACATCCACCGCCAGTGGCATCTCATTCCGCGCAACCACAAACGCCGACGGCCGCGTCGCCAACTGGACACCAGTCGGAACAGCCTCAGGGTCAGTGCCTGCTATTTTGGCTGCGCTGCCTGCTGCAGACAGCAAGACCAACTGGTCTGTGCGGTTTGACGTAGGCCCCTGGTACGAGGCACAGGGTGTCGAGAGCTTCTGGCCAGAGGTTGAGGTTAAGTTCACTGTCAAGGGACGTGGCCGTGAGGATGAGGAGGGCTGGCGCCATTATCATGTTCCTGTCCTTTTGGGTCCTTGGAATTACTCGACTTATCGGGGTTCGTGAAGTTTGGGTATAAATGAGGGATGAGCTGGGAACTGTAAATATTTCAAACTTTTCAGGGCTTGATAGATAGATGTCAATGACCATCTCTATTGGAAAGGTGTTATCGAAGCATGCATCTTGGCTAAGGTTTCCATTGCTTCAATGTTGGTTGTCGTCTAAAAGCTTTGCGCTTGTAGATATGTGTAGGCTTTAGGGGGTGGGCCTGCCTACTTGGGAGGTGAGGATAACAGCTCTAGAGCCTTTTTATTAAATAACATGGTCCGCTTACTCTCGGAAAGAGAAGCAGCACACAGACTACTTCAACTGGATACATGAAGATCTTCTACCTTAGTCTTTCTACCTCTAGATTTGAGGTCGAGTTAACCTGCTCTTGGAGCTTGTTGCCTATGAAGCAACTGTATCTTGACTGCGAGTGTCTGCAACTGCCGGCATACATACAGCTTAAACATAGTCGAATATTTCACCCAATGCCGGTATTTTTGTGTTTCTATGAACTGACTGCAATATTTGATATTACCGTCAGATATGAATTTTTTTCTCTCTCAAACAATATTTAAGCTTTCGCAGTGCATCAAGAGCTATGTTTCAAGTTGAATCGTCTATTCCGCTTAGACCATGTTTAACAGGAGCACGTACAATCAAGGTTGAAGGATACCAAGACTGTGGGGACTGTCTCTCCACAACGGAACAGCCCTATTCTCACGAAATCGCATAGCCATTAAACGGCCCTGGGCTAGACCTTACAAGGATGTTCAATATTAAGACTATCAAGTACAATGTATATGGCACGTTCTCACAAAATTATTATACCTATGTGTGGCCCTTTGTAAGATTTAGGGGTATTGCGATTCTCTCTTATTTGACGCGATCTAACAATTTCATTTATGTAACGTACGAAGTGCCGAACGCGATCTCGACCTTGTATACTCCGTACGCATACGGAGACGCGTACCCATACACAGCTGATTAATAATTATCCCCCTGAAGCTAGGGTGGTAAGTCGTACAAGCTCTACAAATGCAGACCTATAATATGATATAGGCATTTCCTGTCTTCCTGTTAAAATGATATATACAATTCTATACACGATATATACAATTCTATATACGTTTGTACAATCTGTAGATCTAGATATCTAGAATTCCAGTGGCAACTTCCAAGGTTAAACCCTCACGTGCCATTGCGTCATCGTTTTCACCGCATTCTTTGGGTTAGTGTGAAATCGACGGCCTTGGCATTGGAATATGATGTATTCTGATTGGTTATAAGTGTATATATGACCCACAGCGGGAGAGATTTCTGTCGTCACCGTGACATAATGAATAATACAAGGCTGGGATGACCAACCTCCGGTATCAAATCTTCCTAGAATGCAACCATCGACTCTTTAAGTCTACTCTTCACAATGTTTGCTACTTCTTTTGATCTCCTTTATTGAACCAGATTGACTCTCTCCACTAGTCAAGGTTATAGGTAAAGGTGTTTATGTAGAATGTCTGAGATGTTAGCAATTTAGACAGAACACCCAAGTACAAGATATGGAAGAGTACAAATGTACCAATAGCACCCAATATGGTACAAATGTACAATGTCGGTGGAAATAAAGGCCGAAGTTAACGAGACATCTTTCAGACCGTTACAATCATGTATGTTGCATACAGATATAATTTGTGACCCAAGTTTTTTTAAATTACCGTATCTTGTTGTAATTGTGTTTTTTTTTTCATCTGCCAAAATCCCCAAAATCCCTAAATTTCATCATATCCCTCTTCCCCCTACGTCACTCTCTTCCCTTTCTCTCACTCCCTCTAGAGCAACACATTGTTTGTTTGGCTTAACAGATTTTATATTCCATTATATTCGAATTCTAATGTCTGCTGCGGTCGCTTCAGCCGTATCGACTCTTCACAATATGTCCTCCCCCATGGACTCGAAGAAGACAGAAAAAGAAGGTTCGTGTCACTACATTTTTCTGCGCATTTTTCTAGTACTTTTGCTTTGATACTTGCCTATTATCCTATCTGCATTATACTTCCAACTCCCCTTTTTGGTTTTGGTAATACGCCACTGTCCCCGAGCCTTAAATTCCCTAAGTCCTTTGCCGTCGCGATGACTTCACCCTCTGGCGTCATTGATTTTCTCCCCACCTGCATCTTTCACAATGAAGCCCCCGACACGATCTCATAACCGCAGTGGTACCTATTAACGATCGCATTAATTCTTGGCGCATTGCTAACTCGGACTTACCCTCCAGACTCGCAGGCCGCGTCACAGAAGGACCAGAAACCTAACGTAGAGACTCAGACCTCGTTGGCGCCGCCTCCACGACCGGGTGCGCCTACTGCGTCTGATACTCCGGACTACTTCAATTCCATGCACAATCCTTTCTCGCTAGAGCCCAATCCATTTGAGCAATCGTTTGGAGGGAATCCCGCGGAGACCCCAGGCAAATCGCTTCTTCCTTCTGTCGCTGCCCTCACCTCACCGGCCTTGCCTGGAACAAGTTCTGCTAGTGGTTACAATTGGACCAACTCCTTGCGCTCGGGACCTCTTAGTCCGGCTATGCTCCCAGGGCCTACCGGCCCTAATGACTACTTCGACAGCATCGGTCGCGGCTTCCCTACCCCGAACGAGTCCTCCCTTCGCACGGGACTGACACCTGGCGGTGGAGGCTCCATGTTCCCGGCCCCCAGTCCCAACTCACAAGCTCTCTTGCAACAACTTCAGAACGGTGGCGCCACTCCTTCCACTATCGATTTCCATCGCACCGCACTCGCAGCAAAGAAGAACAACTCGAATGCTCCCACCTCCAACCCCAACGAGCAGGAAGCTGCTGCCACTATGGATGTAAAACCAGCTCGGCCCGCTGACTTCACTCAGCATGATGCTGCTGATGCTGCAAACGGACTGTTCATGCTGGCAAAGGGTGGCCAGGCAAATAATGCGCCAATGAACCATCCCCCAATGCCAAATGATACTCGTGGTGCTGCCCGACGTGTCTCCCAGAACACCAATGGCACCAGTGCTGAGGATGCATCTGACCACGAACCCGCTAAACCCGCTAAGGGCAAGGGGAAAAAGAACGCCAAGGGCCCTGCCAATAACCGCCGCAAGGCCGAAGAGGCCCCGAAGGGATCCAACAAAAGGACAAAAGTCAACATGGAGATGCCTTCGGATATGGATGACGAGGACGATGACGACGATGATATGAAGCAATTCCCAATGGATACCAAGAAGATGACTGATGAGGAGAAAAGACGCAATTTCCTGGAGCGGAATCGGTATGGATCACCACCTTACATACTCCGGAGCTCAGAGTGCTAACGTTTACAATGCAGTGTCGCGGCTTTGAAATGTCGTCAACGGAAGAAGCAGTGGCTGGCTAACCTTCAAAACAAGGTTGAGCTTTTCACCTCAGAGAATGATGCCCTTACTGCGACAGTGACTCAACTGCGTGAGGAGATTGTTAACCTCAAGACTCTTTTGCTGGCACACAAAGACTGCCCGGTCTCTCAGGCCCAAGGGCTTGGCCCCCTTATGATGAACGGCATGTCAACCGGATACGATCACCACGGGTATAACATGCCTCCCAATATGGGCATGCAGCCCGGTGGCATCCCTACACAGGGCATGCGTCGGTGAGAAAACATCTTTGTTTCTCATCTCAAGATACCTATCTTGCTTTTTCGCCGCATGCAGGAAATACAGGTCACTGCTTAGACCCAGCGGTTGATCTCTTCTTCCTAGGAGTTTGTTTTTCCTCGCGGTTTCTTTCGGCTAAGGCTTTGCCGAATGTTTTGGCATGGGCAGGTGTTAATGAACCTCACGACTCAAAAATGGACGGACTAACTTGGTGGTCTGGAATGACCTTTTTTTGAGGATGTGTCAATCCGGCGTATGAGATGCTCTTCTTTTTATGGCTTCGAGGTTGCTGTTCTGCTTTATGATGTTTCCCCCTCTTCCCTTGTTGTATTTTTTTACCCTTTTGCTTTCTTTCTTTAATCCTCCTGGTGGCTCGGAGGAACTTTTTATTTTTCGCTTGTCTAATACTTGAGGGCACACCGGTGCATTGTTTGTTTCCCAAATGTGGGTTGCTGTCGAAATACATGATTCCTGGGTGGCGTACGGATGGCTTTGTGATTTTTTGATGTGTTTGACTAGTTTCCTTGAACCAGATGGTTGGGCAAATGAATCGACAATCGCTTTGAAAGTGTAGACATGCATGTAGATCTTTGATTTATGCCAGATGTAGAGGAAAGTTGCGGTGCTTCATAGCTTCAGCTAGCTCTGGGATCTTTAGGAAAGAGAAAGTAAATTTGCAATAAACATAATGCTCGATTCATACATATATTTAGTCATCGTATATCATTATTAACATTGTACAGTACCCGTGGACATATGTAAATACTTGAAAGTCTGATTAAAGCGCTCAGAAAATTCGTGTGATGCTCGGCTTCACCCACATGGGCTTTTCACACTTCTTGTTTGCCTGCCAATTCTGGATCTTGTCGTTGTCCCAGCCAGCTGTGAATCGGTCCGCAATGTCTGGCTTGCTAGGACCTCCAAGTCGCAAGGTCTTCACAAACACACAGGTTCCAGCGTTATCATAAGTGTAAGACATACACCAATCCCTATCATGGCATCCCTGACGACAGGCTTCTAATGATTCATGCTGGGGCAGAGTATTAGGTTGTTCGATAATTCCACCCCAGGCTCCATTATCCCATCCTTGTCGCTCTGGCAGATTTCCCAGGCGAAGGTAGTCAACCAAGTCTGCGTATAGTAAAGGATTCTGAATTGACATGGATTAGTATGTGTACCTCTAGGCTCGGCAAAAGGAATCATACCGTTCTATCCCGCTGATCCTCCCAATCAGCCAGCCCGGTCATATCACTCAATTGCGATTTATGCATGCTAATCGCAGGCTGGCACCAGTGATGATCATCACCAAAGGGAATCGAGTCCAGCGGGTGCGGATTGAACATCGGCCACATCCCAGA